TGAGGGAGTCTGCAATTACATTGGCGGTGCCAGGTAAGTATGATGCTGTTATGGTTACGCTGTTCTGTATGCACCAGTTCCAACACCGTACTGCTTCGGCGCATAGGGAGCGTGATCGTGCTCCTCCCTGCCTGTTGACATAATACATCGCAGCTACATTGTCCGTCAATATCCTTACTGTGAGACCTTTGATCTGAGGAAGAAAATGTTTGCATGCGTAGAAAATCGCTCGAAGTTCCAACAAATTTATGTGCAGACGCCTCTCGCTGAGCGACCATTTGCCCTGGATTCGTTCGCTGTCCATGTGGGCCCCCCAGCCTATGAGCGAGGCATCCGATGTTATCTGTACCGTTGGTTGTTGTCGATGGAATGGAACTCCCGGCAGGAGGTTTTGCTCTTTTGTCCACCACTGCAGCGATCTCTGAACATGCGGAGGTAACCACACTAGTTTTTCAATGTCGTGTCTCACGGGGACATAAACCGTGGACAGCCAATGTTGGAGACTCCTCAAGTGGAGGCGCGCATGAGGGACTACTGTAGTGGCTGCTGCCATATGTCCCAGGAGACGAAGGCAATTGTGTACCGATACGGTCATGTTCCTTGTGAGTATAGTAACCAGATCCTTGATTACATGGAACCTTTCTTGAGGTAGATAAGCTCTCGCCATGCGCGAATCTAGGTTTATCCCTATAAATTTTATGAATTGAGTTGGGACAAGTGTCGATTTTTGCTTGTTGAGAAGGAGGCCGAGTGATTCGAACGTTTGCTCGACTGTCGCCACCATCTGTGATGCCTCTCACTGCGTGGCAGCTTTTATCAAGCAGTCGTCCAGGTACGGGTATATTATCACCTGTAACCGACGCAGATGCGCTGCTACAACAGCCAGGGTTTTTGAAAACGCTCTGGGAGCTGACGCAAGCCCGAATGGTAGACCCCGATACTGAAAATGATCGTGACCTATCACAATTCGCAGAAAACGTCTGTGAGCGGGATGAATTGTGATGTGAAAATACGCATCTTGTAAATCGAGGGCAGCGAACCAATCGTTGGGATCGAGGGATGGTATTATAGAATTCAGGGTCACCATTTTGAAATGCTGTTTGCGAAGATAACGATTCAAACCTCTTAAATCGAGAATGGGTCTCCAACCCCCCGTTTTCTTTTCCATTAGAAAGTATCTGGAATAGAACCCTCTTCCCCTGAACTGATCGGGGACCCTCTCTATTGCTC